CGGTAGCATGAAGTATTTCCTGGCAACAAGAAGAACACCATTAATAGATTCTGCTGCATTGGTTGTGTTAACATTGAATCTGTCTCCTTCAAAGTAACATCTTGCCCATTTTCTCACTTCAACACTTTTCTCCAGATAGGCCGCAGCAGAAGGAAACCGATTGGAAAATTCAACATAGAGATCATCAAACTCAGCCACTGTATAAGCATGTGCACACTCTGTAAACTTTTTTGCGCAATCGTCTCTGTTGTTGAAAACATGTCCTTTGACATTTTGAGACAAATGCCAGATATAATATCCATGTGCGGCCGTTGGGAACACCTCACGTATTGACTTGATCAAGCCTGCATTTCTATCCGAAAGAAACACCAATTCGCCTTCATCTGATATCACTGACCTCAACTTATTCATAAACCACATCCAACTTTCTTCTTTCTCACAATCAACTACACCGAATGCGATAGGGTAGTGGTGACGACCAGGATCTTGAGCCGTCGCAACAAGAAGAACTCCACCATAAACATGCTTAAGATGTGTTCCATCCACAATGATAACTTTCCTCATCGCTGCGAAACCTTCTATGGAAGCTCCAAATGCAAAAAATAGATACTTAAATCTTTTCGCCGCATCCACGTCAACATAACTTACTGAGTCAGGATTCTTCAACTTAAGCATGTACATGTAAGAGTGTATCATAGAAAAACTTTCTTCTGGAGTACCTCGGACTTCATTAGCCGCCATCCTTTTCCCTCTCCATGCTGTGGCATATGAGACATCAACACCAACCTTGTGGGTAACCATACTGATAAGATCTTTTGGTGTTGGTGTGTCATATCTACCGGGATATTCTTCACTCAAAACAGATGCGATAATTTGTGGTGTGCCTCTCCTTCTATTTCTAAGGGTACTTGTAGTTACCACTGAGCATGTATGAGACTTGATGTAAGTTCTAACCATCCAAACATCTGAATTCTTAAGCTTTGCTACACGCAAATACCATTTGCAACCTTCTTTATGTCCTCGACATCTTGCCACAAACCTCCAAGTATCAGACTTAATTGTGTCATACTCAAAACCATTCTTATGCGCACCCCTCTGAACTAGAACTTGCATGGTTGTCTTAGTTCTGAATTCTTGACCCTTAACCAAATCGAGACCATCATCCCATTCTTCTTCTACTGCTGTCGTGGCTTCAACTACTGCTGTCGTGGCTTCAACTACTGCTGTCGTGGCTTCAACTTCCGCTCTTGCAGCTTCACCTTCATACTCATGCTCTAAATTCTCTTGCATCTCAATGTCTTCATGTTGTTGGGCTGTGTAAAGGCCGACCACGCCATCCATCTCATGATCATGATCAGTTCTATCTTGATCAATTCCATGATTCTTAGTATCATCAGTTTCATCTCCACCAGAAAGACCAACGTAGCTATCATCAATTCCATGATCATATCCATCGGAAAGACCATTATAGCTATCATCAGTTTCATCATCATCTCCTGAAAGTGACTGACCACCACATGTATCATCCATGTCTCTGCTGATCAGGTGTACATTTTGTGAAGATGTCAATAGTACTAAATGAAAGTTGAGATAGCCCAAAACGTCTTCATCACACCAAATATATGATGGCTTCTTCGAATACAATACCATTGGAAAGTAACTAATCTTCACCATCCCATCTCTATTTGCCTTAATCTTTCTGCATATACTCTCAAGCAATTCAGAATACGTAATCTCTTCCACAGCTGTCTTCATCACTAAAGTGTGAATTTCATCTTCTCCCGAGATCCATCTTATCTCACCCCCATCTTTGATGTAACTTCCTCCGTAATCAAAATATATGATTGTAATAGGAGAGGCCATACCATAGACTTACTTGAAACACAAATTAAAATTATGATTAGTTAACCATTTAAAGAATCAAAGTTGTTCAAGGTCTTTTGTACATAGTCGTTCCAGTAATACAAGTAATACACGTTTCACTTTAGTAATACCAGTAGTTCCAGTAGTTCTTATAAACTTTTATTTTTCTCGATCTAACACTTTTAACTGACCAAGAGGGTGTTATACAACTCACAATATCGTCTACCACTATTGTAAAGCATTACTTTGCTAGAAAACAGTTCAAAATAAGAATAAATATACAAAATCGACCTTAAATACCTTTTTTCAGAACAATATACCTAAAACTTTCATTTTTACCTAAAACTTTCATTTTTCAACGGTTTAAGTCTTTTAAATCAACTTACAACGTCTTACACAACCCAGATTATCGTCCCCAACAATTTTTATGTTTTTTTCTTTCAAAAACGTGTTATAAGTAGAGAAAAATACATAATCTTTTTCAAACATTATTTTCATTTTTCTTTGAAAACTCTCACGACTTTTACAGCAATACATTCATATTTTTCGTTACACATAACGCATAGAACATAAGTAGTAAATTATTATGAAAATTTCGTGAAAAAAAAGTATGAATTTACCTCAAAAATCCTTCCCAAATCGCCAAGGAAAAAAGTGGTTCGATGGTGGTTGGGGAAAAGGAAGCAAGATGGGAGAAAGGAGACAGGAGGGACAGGTGTAGGAAGGAGAGAGGTGGATTGATGTGGGGTTGGCAGTTAGGTTTGTGTATTAACGTTGGACTTTATGAGGTGGAAAGAGGGGACCGCAGCTGTTTTTAATGTTTAAAAAATAGGATAGAAAAAAGGAAGAAAAACGTGGAGGGGACCGCAGCATAATATTATAATGAGATAATAGTGAGGGTAATAAGGAGAAACGAGATATGAGAAAAAAAGTGGGGTAGATAGAATTTTGGTAGGGTAAAGAGAATGACTTTTTTTCAACTGGGTCAAACAAGAATACTTTCCTTTAATTTATTCAAAATTGCGCTGATTTTAGTGTTTATTATAGCGTCAGTTGTTGCAGCAGCAGTAACTGTCGTTGTGGTAACCACATGCCTCAAATTATAATATATAGGAAATCAAGAATATAGACAAACATTTTTAAAATGTATCAAGAAGCGGAACATAACTTTTTCACAAAAAGAATCCACTGCACTCACTTGTATTCTGATTTGTTGCTTAAGGTCTCCAGCTTCAGTTTTCTTTTTTGTTGGCATTTTGTTTGTGTTCCCTGACATTATTCGTCAGATGGCCCTATGAGAACATATGCTTGTTAATATTTCTTAATACGATGTGAAATAATAAACAAAGACCCACATTGAAGAATTAGACAATGAGTATCTAATATATAAAGAGAAGTCCAACTCTAATAGTACGAGGCCTTTGGGGAAGGAAATCAAAAGTAAATCCATTCGAGCCGGTTTATAAGGCCCAAAGTGGACAATATCGTACTAATAAAAAAAGATAGAGTTGGACATGAGCTTTCACAATTCCAACAATTGGTATCAGAGCAGTTCGACGAAGTTATGCAAGAAGACCAAAATACCCTTCAAAATGGAAAGGGACCCTTCGAGTAGGAAGAGGAAGTCCATGGCAGAGCTAGTCGGGAGATCACTGAACATGTGATGTTGTAAGAAAAACATTCTCAAAGGAAACCCTACGATTCGTGGTACAAAGTGGTGCCAAGATGATTCGCTGAAGGATAAACACATAAGATGAATGTGGTCCTTAGTTTAAGGGGGAAAATGTGAAATAATAAACAAAGTCTCACATTAGAAAATTAGACAAGGAGTGTCTAATATATAAAGAGAAGTCCAACTCTAATAGTACGAGGCCTTTTAGGAAGGAAACCAAAAGTAAATCCATGTAGGCCGATCTATAAGGCCCAAAGTGGACAATATCGTACTAATAAGAAAATATAGAGTTGGACATGGGCTTTTACAATTCCAACATACGAAATATATCGAAAACAATTCCTGGTACAGTAGAACCTCTATAAATTAATACTCGATAAATTAATAATCTCTATAAATTAATAAATTTCACCGGTCCCAACTTGGGCCGGTGTAAAATATGACACAAATTGATAAAATAATAAGATAATAATATTTTTAAAACCGCCATTCAAATATATGGTCCCACTAAAATCATAAATTAATAATTTAGCTATAAATAATTTTATATAAGTACAATCTAACATTATATTGTTGGTTTTATATTTACTATAAAAATAATTTTATTTTTAAACATTTCAATATATTTTGATAATATTTAGTTAGGGGTTTTATATTTACTATAAAAATACTTTGATTTTTTAAACATATTTCAATATATTTTGATAATATTTCGTTAAATTATATCGAAAACTATGTAACAATTCTATGAAACATAAAAATATACATCAAATAAGATAATAAAACAATACACTACAAGAATAAAGCTCATACTCCGACGGGCATATTAATCGGCAGTTGGTCGGTAATAGACATTACCCACTACTTCCCGACAATCAAATATTAGTCGGCGTTTGGGTCTCGGAAATCTCGGTTTGTTGGAAGATATATATAAAAGTCAAATTTCTAAAATTTAAATAATGTACATATGCTCAAAATCAAATATATTTTTTTTGTTTTATAAATAAAAATGGAAACAATAATAAAAAATCTAAATAAGGAAACTTTCGTAAATTAATATCTCTATAAATTAATAAAATTTCAAAGTCTCAACATTATTAATTTATTGAGGTTTTACTGTATATTGAGCTGACCCGCACAGTAGTACTAAGGTAGACGAAAAGAGTAGAATACTTCTACGTACCTAAATTTGAGAGTGAAATATGCTTCTTAAAAAAAAAAATTGCTTCTTAAAAGTGAACCTAAGAGTTGTGGTTGTAGGGACTGAGTTCTTTTGTTGTCATATGCTTTTGAGGCTGTCTTAGAAACCATTCACTGAACAGGTGGACATGGAGGTGGTAAAGGCTCAAAATGATTATGGAAGTATGAGAGGTTAACAGCCAGGTAACCATTTTATGTTGTACACTTGTTCTGATTTTAGATTTTGCTATTATTTTTCTTTTTATTTCTAATTACATTGTAATTGTTACTGAACATGAAACAAAACACTCTTACTATTCACAAACAAGTCTCTTTTAACACTTATAATCATGGGCAATGTGACTACTAAGTCTTCTTCAGATTTGGTCCACAGCCTCTCCCCCATTGCGTCTCGAGCAAAGATCACTGTCTTCAACAAGCAACCTGTTTCCTTGGAGACAAGATCAAACCTATCCGACAGTTCCATCACTGATTTATTCAATATCTCCACCACTACATTAGTAACTGACCCTTCTTGAACCGCTATGTGAAGCTTCTTCACACCTGATTCAACTTCCTCTAGATCTTTAATAACCGTGAACCTGTCTGACAAAAATGCGTTTTTGATCTCCGGGTTAACCATGTTCTGCAAATCCATTAAAGCTTGAGCCCATGGAACGTCCTCCATCTCCTTTGGAATGGTTAGACACAAGAGACTATTCGAAGTTCCAGAAAACACTGCAGCAAACACGCTGGATATGTACAAAGTCTTGACGTTTACACCATATAGAGCTCGTTGGAGGACTCTTCCTTTTCCAGATAGTTTCTTCTTGGAGAGACTATGATGATGATGTTGCAACGATTCAACAAGACTACTCAAAATCGCACCGCAGATTTCGATTCTCGGGTTCTTTGAAGCCATGTGTTTCCTCCAACTCTCAAGATGCAACAAAAAAGTTTCCTCAGAACAACTCCTTGTCTCCAGCTTATTAAAAGCAAACTTGAGTAATAGGTTTCCGTAGTTGAGACGGTCGAGCTCTGAGGTGAAGGAGTTGCAGAGTTCAAGCAGCTTCAAGCTAATGCCAGAGTAGATATAAATAAAGTTTTCTTCCAAGTCCGAGACAGGAAGCTCTACCTCTGTCACGAGTTTCTTGATACTCTTGTGTGTCTTACAAAGAGATGTCATTGCTTCCTTCATCCAAGAAACGGTGAGAATAGCATTTCCATCATCCTTTGGTATAAGATCTTTAATTAATACCGTCAAGTTTGTCTCGAAATTGTTTAACAGTGAGAGAAGATTTTGGGATATGCCTGCGTTGTTGTTCTTGGGAACAAGAACTTTGAGTGGGTTTCCGCAGCGGAAGAACAGTCTTGGAGGATGATCTTTTATTCGGCTCATATTTACTGTTACACATAAAAGAGGAACAAAGTTTCAAATCTGAAAGAAGAAAGAAAATCCAAACATCATTGTTCTGAATCTAAACTACTACTCACCTAGAGAGAGAGATTCTTGGGAAGTGTTAGCGCTTACTTCAATGTTGGCCTCAACGAACTTCAGAATCAGAAGAAAATGAAAGGGAAGGAAGAAAGAATAATTTACAGTTTAGCAAGTAAACCCTTTTGGAGAGAAAGTATAAATAGGAGGAGAGATGGGTGTGTGTGTGTGTTCGAGGAAACGCAGGTGTTGAAACACGCGTTCTTATAAGAGAGGAATCAAACAAACTTGCCGTGTTCTACAGAACAACGCAACACGGGAAGCAAAGTTACTCTCACGTTGGTTTTGCCTTCGCTAGTTGTAACGCAGAGTGTTTATTTTCAGTTACGCGGTAGTGACGTCGTATATTGCGTGATGTACACGCGTGACTCGTTTATTTCAGATCGATTTTCTGACTCCAGTCTAGCCACTTGTCAGTTGACTGACTATGCGCGAAAACAAATAAAAAGGTGTCATAATACCCGGCGGATTTTCCTCAATCCAACGGCTGGAAAGTTCTGGTTCCTTCACGAAAGAGTGGTTTGATTTCGGGGTATATTTTAGAAACTCTATCAAAGGATTATATAGAAAAAATAATTTAACTGGAACTTTTATTTTTTGTTTCATATAATATTTAACTTTTTTGTCAACGGGTATCTTTTTTTTTTTTTTTTTTTTTTTGTAACAAGTCAACGGGTATCTAGCTATTTATCGATGAAAACAACAAATAAATTCTCTTATACATCGAGTTATACTATTTCCATTGCTTATGCATATTGATGTTCATATGTCGTTTTTATTGGTTTTTACTTCAGTTTTTGATCGACAACAAGTAGGTTTTGTTATTAAATTTTGGTCCTTTCTTTTTTCTATCATCTGTTAGATTAATGATTAAGCTGCAACAGATCTTACAACAAAATCCAGCAAGAGAATAAATCTTTTCCGGAGTCACAAGTCGGCGTGAAACAAATTACCACCAAAGACAAACATTTGAACAAGAACCAATTTTACACAGACAAGAACCCAAGAAAATAAAGAGGCTAGGGAGCCAGCCAGTATCAGTTATGTAAATTTGATGGCTAGAAGCCTAAATTTAAAAAGGCCAAAAATAAATTTGAGAGATCATGGGTAATTGAACACAACACCTCCAACATTAGCAATGAATCTCAAGACCATTAGGCTAAAGTCTCTTTTGTAATTTTATGTGGCCGATAAAATATCAATTACTGTGGCGGCTGGAAACCCATGCTTCCCCTTCTTGTGCCCAGGGCTGCTACTAAATCCAGCATAACTTCAAAAAGATGGAGTGGGTTGAAACTGGAAGCAGGATTGAGAAAGAAAAGTGAACTAGCCTACATTATTAGAATTGAGCTAACATCTCCTACGCTCCCAAAAGAGACACAAGCAATGAACACACTTACCACTTCTTCACATAAAGAAGGCTCCGAAGAATAAGCCTTCAACCCGAGCAACTAATGATGAACACATACGCGATTGGCGTATGACTGCTCTAAGATTGTCGTGATTGAGAAAAAGCTCCATAGTCCCTTACCAAGCAGTCTGGGAAAAAACCGTAGGATGCACACCAAGGAACCACACAACTTCCTCGCATCGACACTCCATCAAATAAAATCCTAAAAACAACACCAAATCTGGACGAGACCAAACCAGTGACCACACGCACCAGACACCGTACACCTCAGCAGGAACAAATCTCACACGGATTCCCTCAGATAGACTCCAAGCAAGGCCTAAGCAAGAGCTGCTAAACAAGCCGTCAATCCAACCCACCTCTAGTACGCTAGAAACCTCTAAATTTCCTTCACACCACGAAACGAAGAATGATATACAAGCTCGTAAAACCACCAATGGACGCCTGAAGGCAGCTTGACCAGTTTCGATGGAAGAATTAACAACCCACATCAGAGCCGACGACTATAACCTGCAACCGCACACCTTAAAACATATTCGACCCTAAAGAAGCAATCCAAGCTATCCACACAGAGGTTACACAACTCGATCTTGAATCAACAAACCAAGACCAACCTAGGACTAAAGACTAAAACAGAACATAAGCAAAACACCCTCGGAGAGGCCACAAACAGGAGATTCAAAGGATAAGACTTAACAACTAAACTTCACATGCCCTAGAACCAGAGTGTCAAACTCATAATCGACGCACAGAAACCGTCAAGGCTAACACCCAGAGAAACTCCAACCCAAGCTATAGAAGCCAACGTATGATACCAGTCCATCAATATTCTCCCTAACCCATATCTGAAGCCATGAACCAGAGGATGTCAACTCGCCGAAACTAAAACCGAATACACAAAGAAATAGACGACACGGGACCGCTCCCGGCGGTGGTGAGAAGCACTGGCCGCTGGAGCATGAGATGGATTAGCGCGTGGGTTTCTCTCTTTTAGGGTTCTTCGACGCTCTACCCACTTTTATTTTTTTCTCTGTAGGAACTATTCTTAATTTTGGTCCTTCAAGGTCTTTTTTGTTTTCTATTTTCTTTAATACAAATTACAAGGTAAACTATCACAAAAAGGTCACAATTAGATGGATGTCAAAGCTTAAGAGAATCTCATCACATAAACAAATTGGTCAATCCAAAGCTCAATATCGCGAATCTGTCAACAAGAAAAAATTGGTCGATCCAATAATTCAATCGTAGTCAATTGAAACTAGATCAAGAGATCTTTCTTATAGAAATTGGTTGATGTGATATCATAAATGGAGAAATTTTATTGAGGGCACCAAATCGACCCAGCTTTGGTAACATCAGATCGATATCATGTGCACCCGGAGCTGTTTGACATTAATTTAACTCAAACCCAAAGATGAAGACCCATTTAACTCAAACCAAAAGATGAACACCCTATCTCCATCTCTATTTCTTTTTTTGGCGAAGCTGCCGCCTCCGTCGCAGTTTCGTCGCCGTCTGTTCTAGCGAACTCAGAAAAAGATATCTAAGAATTCTCCACCTTTCTTCCTTTTATCCTTCCATGGACTTAAAGGATTCTTCTTGCGCTAATGTTCACTGTGCAGAGGAGAATCTCCACAACTTCAGTGCTGATTCTTTAGGAAAAACATTTCTATGGGCAGATCCTCGCTGGATATATTTTAATAAGTGGTTGGTGAATGTCTCTCCTTCTCCTCAACTTTTCCAGCCGGTTCCTCCTCCTCTGAAATCAAAAACTTTTGAACCAGAAAAGGATAAACCGCAGGCGTTAATGATCTCCTCTTCTGCTCCTGAATCGGGAGAGGAAATCATCACTTCCTCTAAAGATGTGGTATCCTTGACAGAGAACCATTCGTCGGTGACTGTCCAAGACCCTAATGCTCGTGAGGGTGTGATTGATCCTCAACAAATGCTACCATCTGACTCCAGTTTATCTCCAGCTACATCCTCGCCTTCCCCATCTCTAGGAGCTTAGACTATTACACTTAAGATGTCTTCTTTCAACTCGATGGAAACTGAAAAAGGGGCAAGGATCCATCTCATTCAATCCTCTCAGGCAACTCCTTATGCCCTTGTTTGTCTAAGTAGGGGGGTAGGAAGCTTCCAAAAAATTTGGGTACTTCTGTTTCTGCGAGACAGTATGTACCTAGTCCCATTATCAAAGCCGCTTCACAAGAATATCCATGGGCAGCAAAAATGAAACCAGTGTGCAATCTCAACAGGGTCACTGTTCCTGATTACTTGGAGGATGGAACACCTAAATTAATTGTTCCTAGTCATGTACTTCTTCAAGGAATTCAGAATCAAAAATAATATGTGGTAGGTCAGTTTTACCATTGCTATGCACCTGCTGGAGGTTTGATTCATGCTGTGGTAACTAGAATATGGGGCAAAGAATGTCGTATCTTCACCAAAAAAATTAGGAGAATCATCATACTTGTTTCACATTCTGGATGATGCAACTCGCAAGTTTGTTATCCAGAGGGGAATATGGCATGTTGATGATTGTTTGATGTTTTTTTCTGCTTGGTCTCCGGCTGAAACAATTATTTTGCCAGAATTCAAGACTATTCTAGTTTGGTTATCTCTCAAGAACATACCAAATCAACTCTACTCTTTTGAAGGAATCAAGTGGATCGCTTTAGGTATTGGAGAGCCAATACTAACATACAAACCTTGCCTTGATCCTACTCTAATGGGAGAAACAAAAATTCTAGTTGAGATCAAGTTAGATAGGCCTTTTTCTCAGAAAGTAGCTATTGAGGATGAGAGTGGGTCTGTCTCAATGGTTGATGTTGTGTACTCTTGGCTACCTTCGAAGTGTGCTAGGTGTGGTCAGTTGGGCCACAAAGCGTCACCATGTTTGGAATAACAGCTTGATCCATCTAGAAGCACCAAGACATCATCTCCAATGTCTGGAGAAGTTGAATCAAGTGTTAACTTAGCAAGTGAAACAGAAAATATGTCGGTTGACAAAGAGAAAAATACTAGTCTTACACATTCAACTCTGAATGTGACTGTCCCACACACTCCAACTTCAATAGTTAATGCTACTTCAGATTCAGTTATGACTATAGAAGCCAAGACTTTCAAGCTCAACGACCAGATCTCAATCGCTGAGGACAAATCAAAGTTAAATCCAAAGCAAGATATCTCATTCTCATTAAAGGAAGGGTTGGAAAAAGTTCTCCAGTTACTGTCCCTGAACATTCTTCTACACGCTCACTCACATGTAATACTACAAGAAACTGTCACACACCACTGTTCTCTTCAAAAGAGACTCCATTTTTTTCCCAACAAGTTCCAACAAATTCTGTTCCAGCTGATTGTAGAATCCGCAGGAGCTTGTCTAGCTCTAATTTACTCACCAATCGATTTCGCTCTTTAGAATCTTCGGGTGATGAAGATGAAACTTTAGTTTCAGACGAGGAATTGGACCCAAAAGAATTTTTGTCTC